TCCCTGCCCCTTCCCACCTGGCTTCTGCACGCAGCCAGAGGCTCCTAGCGCCAATCATGGCCCTGCTTCCCAGTCACTCCCCCGCCAGGCTTCTGTCCAGTGCCCAGCTGGGAATTCAGAAAATACCGGACATTGCACATGTCTGGTATTTTCTGAATTTTTCTACCGGACAGACGGTGTAAGTACTGGACTGTGTGGTAGAAAACCGGACACCTGGCAACCCTCAGAGCCAGGGGTGGGTTTGAGACAGAACAAGGGCAGATTGAAGGGGATGGATAGAAGGGATCAAGCTACAGGAAATGGGCAGAAGAGTCTATGCCCACAAGAGTGCACTCACCTCTGGAGCCTGGAATGGAACCCAAGAGTCCCTATCTCACTGTTCCTCTGCTGTGAGCAAAACTCTGTGAAACCCGCTAAAAAGCATGTGTCTAATCCCCCCCTGGTGCTGGTCCACGTAGAGGATGACAACCTGCTGTTGAACATCGAGCAAAAGCGGCAGAGGTCTGTGTGGTGGATCAAAAGGTTCAGTCTTGCAGGTGACTCATGGTAGAATTTCTGTTTCTTTTGTTTGTTGGTTTGGTTTGGTTTGGTTTGCTTTTTATAAACCTAGGACATTCTATGTAAAAACAATGTTAAAAGGACATTATTTGGGTTCTAAAAGTAAGCACTTAAAAGTTAGGAATTGCCAGAAATGAGATGGTATGTGCAACCTTTATTTGCTCCCTTTTTGCATATGCATTATGAATCTGTCTTTATTTACACAATCATGTATTATTTTTTCCTTGAATGAGCCGCTATTCAATATTTTCTTTTCTCCTTGTTCAGCCGATGGCCCTAGGCCTTATCTACTGTGCACTATTCAAATCTTGCTCTGAAGACAGAATTAATTTCCTCTGGGATTTTTCAATGGCACTTATCCATACAGTATGTTAGTACTTCACGAACCTTATTTAATGTGTCCTCAAAGCAGCCCTGTGAGATAAAAGGGAGGTATTATCCCATTTTACAGATGGGGTCCTAAAGCACAGAGAGATTAAGGTCATAAGTATTCATTAATTGTTGGTGCCCAATTTGAAATACCTTAGGATCTGATTTTTCAGACTACTTTTTATGTTCAAAGCAAAGCTCTTAAAGACTTCAGGTGCAGTTGTTTTTTGCAAATCAGAGTCCCTCTGATCATTCAGTCATTCATATATATCTGTGCCATACACTTATACTGGAAACTCTCATTCTGAGTATCATTCTTTTGTCTTCCCACCCGGGAAAACATTATATTTTTACACAACTCACAAATGGAGGTGTCACGATCATCCCCTTTCTGGGTACTCTCTTTGTTCAACACTGATGTGTCAGGGTTCTCTCCTGTGTCAGTCCTTTCTCTCCTCGAACCTACTTTTCAGGACACTTGCTGCAAATACTGCATGATCTTGGCTGCTTTTCTTAACTGTATTTTGAGGACCTAGCAGATCTCTTCAAAACTCACGTCAACTAGGCCTCTGACTTCTGAGTTTGAAAAACAATTACTTTTTATTTAAGCTGACTATATATAACACAAATAGCATTTAGTGGCCCTCCAACTTTTTACTCCAGCAAGGTCAGTCTAAACTTATCAGAATCCAGCTGTGCTTCCCTTCAGGATCACAGTCTAGTGCCTCAACTTCCTCTCTGGTTCTACTTCCCCTTTTCCAGGGGCCAGATGATTACCCTTCAAATTCAAAACCCTCCAGACTTCCAAATAGGCAGTCTGGATGGAGTTTCATTTCAGGAGTCCAAGCTTATGTGCCCCTGTTTAGTCAGTTGACCGTCTCCCCATAGCATATCCCAGCATGCAATTTTGCTTACAAATACTGATTCTATAACAATATCTCATCATACAGTTTCAAGCAAACATAACTCCTCCGCAGGACAGTTTTTATTCCGTAGTTCTTAAGTTCTGCGTTATAGCTAATTTATTACATTTAAAAATATTATATTTATTAGTGGTTGTCATTGTAAAAGAAATAGCCCTGTAAATCGAATAGTGTTCTTATTCATTATTAAAATACAATATTAGCTATGGCCAAATTCTGCCAATACCCCAAACAACCCAGTTGTTACTGAGAAACTGTTTGGTTTGCCCATGGTGAACACCCGGCCCATTGTTTGTACGCCCAACAGATAAATAGGTGCACAGTTACTCACTTTAGTGAAATTTGCTCCAGTGTACCTATGCAGAGTCTTAAATGGAATGAATGCCTTTAAAATAGGAACCTGGCAACTGTCACAAGCTATGAGATGAATTTCAGAAACACTTCTGAGGACGGATTTGCAGGGAACATATTATACCACTGCCCCTGTGGCTACTCTGGCTCCTTTTATTTTTAGGTAAAATTTAAAGTG